CCTGAACATCAGCAGGAGAGGACTCTTTAAAGTAGATACACTACATACTGATATACACCTGAACATCAGCAGGAGAGGACTCTTTAAAGTAGAGACACTACATACTGATATACACCTGAACATCAGCAGGAGAGGACTCTTTAAAGTAGAGACACTACATACTGATATACACCTGAACATCAGCAGGAGAGGACTCTTTAAAGTAGAGACACTACATACTGATATACACCTGAACATCAGCAGGAGAGGACTCTTTAAAGTAGAGACACTACATACTGATATACACCTGAACATCAGCAGGAGAGGACTCTTTAAAGTAGAGACACTACATACTGATATACACCTGAACATCAGCAGGAGAGGACTCTTTAAAGTAGAGACACTACATACTGATATACACCTGAACATCAGCAGGAGAGGACTCTTTAAAGTAGAGACACTACATACTGATATACACCTGAACATCAAAGAGGACTCTTTAAAGTAGAGACACTACATACTGATATACACCTGAACATCAGCAGGAGAGGACTCTTTAAAGTAGAGACACTACATACTGATATACACCTGAACATCAGGCAGGAGAGGACTCTTTAAAGTAGAGACACTACTTACTGATATACGCCTGAACATCAGCAGGAGAGGGACTCTTTAAAGTAGAGACACTACATACTGATATACACCTGAACATCAGCAGGAGAGGACTCTTTAAAGTAGAGACACTACATACTGATATACACCTGAACATCAGCAGGAGAGGACTCTTTAAAGTAGAGACACTACATACTGATATACACCTGAACATCAGCAGGAGAGGACTCTTTAAAGTAGAGACACTACATACTGATATACACCTGAACATCAGCAGGAGAGGACTCTTTAAAGTAGAGACACTACATACTGATATACACCTGAACATCAGCAGGAGAGGACTCTTTAAAGTAGAGACACTACATACTGATATACACCTGAACATCAGCAGGAGAGGACTCTTTAAAGTAGAGACACTACATACTGATATACACCTGAACATCAGCAGGAGAGGACTCTTTAAAGTAGAGACACTACATACTGATATACACCTGAACATCAGCAGAAGAGGACTCTTTAAAATAGAGACACTACATACTGATATACACCTGAACATCAGCAGGAGAGGACTCTTTAAAGTAGAGACACTACATACTGATATACACCTGAACATCAGCAGGAGAGGACTCTTTAAAAGTAGAGACACTACATACTGATATATATACTGCCATACTTTCCTCATGGAGGGAGAGTTTATGACCTGATCACATCCCTCTCTCTCGGACACCATTCTCTGGATGTGATGGGCATGTCTGCAGAAGATTGCCAAGGATGCGTCAGGCAAGAAAAATGAGTATTTCCCAGGTGTGTCTTAAGAGAAGACAAGCAGTGTGATGAGAACTCTTGGCGAATAAGAAAGCTCTGATTCATTTCTACAAGGTATAGCAATGCAATAATGAAGTGCTCTCATTTTCTCTGTGACAGAACAAAATCCCCTTGGATTATGCTTTAAACAAATACAGTGGTGCGTGATGTAATGCTACCTGTTGTTAGTGCTTTTACCCTGTTATGATGAAAGAGAAATACACATGTGCAGTGATGATCCTGAGATGTTTCCAGGTGAGATTAACTGTGATGTGCTGCATGGGGCGGTGGTGGCGAAGTCCATAGGGACTTGGCTTGGCAACTGGAAGGTCACCAGTTCAAGTCCCGGAAAGACCAAGTGCTACCGAGGTGTCCCTGAGCAAGGCACCGTTCCCTACACTGCTCCCCGAGCGCCGTACATAATGGCAGCCCCCTGCTCCTAACACAGGATGGGTCAAATGCAGAGAAACCGTTTCGTTACATGGTACTGTGTAATGACAATAAGTTGAATCTATCTATGTTGGTGAAGGACATTTTTTTCTGATTTATTTATTTATAATTTAGCAGCTACAAAATTAAAAGATTCATAATCAACCCGTATCCAAAATGCCTTCAAAATAAAGCATAAACTTATATTAACCTAAATAACGACTAACTGAAGATGCTTTTACTGCAAACAGCCAGAAAATTCATCTTTAGATTTTCACAATTTTCTCCATTGACATTGAAAAACATGCATATTATCGAGTATACTTCTTCAATGTTACAATGCTGTCATTTGTTAAGCTATTTGAGCAGGGAAATGGAAAACAGCTTGTCATTTGACTTTCTTCCAAAGCTTTTTGGCGTTGAGGACTATTTCAAATAAAATATATATCATTTTTAAGTGCACCCACGTTTCCTTTCTTTCATGTTTGGCTCTTTATTATCATGCGGCCCAACAGTTTTAATGTCACCTCAAAACGCTACAAAATCCCTGAAAACATCTCAAGATCATCTCTGAAAAATGTTTCTAGTTTTATGTGTTTATGATCTAGGCACTGCAATACCAGTTGAGGACATTAGATGTTTTTTGTTTCGGCTAAATCAGAAAGGAATAAATCAGAAAACTAACTCAAGGTACAACGGCAGCTGAGTCACCAGATACCGACTGTTACGCAGGGAAATGATCCAATGTCAAACAAGAAAATACTCAATGTTAATATCATATATTTGTGCATTTTATTTCCTCTGGGTTCAAATAATCCAAAAGCACAATCAACAATGGTTTAACCCATAATGCTTTGCTGCTTTTCGCGGCTTCCCCTGCGTAAGACTCACTATCAGGCGCATCAGAGGCAGTTTCATTCCCTTCAGGCTGTTTTTTAAGATCCAAATGGTGAAAGAAAGTGAAATGAAGAGGATGTTGGTCCGTCTGTATTGTGCTCCAGGTGGGAAATAAGCCGTCATGTGACTTTTGTGTTTGAGATGCTTCATCATGTTCAAAAGACATGATTATGTGTTACGACCCTGGTCGTTATGTGTATTGTGTGTATAGATTTCCTTCGAGTCTTTTAGTCCTTCAGAATGATTAGGCAGGTTTAGTAGTAGGCATGGTTAACAAAACTGTGAGTTTGTGTCTTAAGGGGGGGGGGGGTGTCACGGCTGCTGTCTGCTCGTTAACCTGTCTGGGATTGTTTTCAGCTGTGTATGTTATATGTATATGAGATGTGCCGTTGCCCGGACGCCATTGGATGCCAGTTTCCTGTCCCTCCTCCGGTAGGCGTGACCGAAGATCTGGATTGGAGCAGGTCGGGCCCGACTCACCAATCCCTGCCCACACCTTCCGGGGACTCTTCCAAGAGTGTGTGCATCTCAGTTAGACGGGAGAGGTCTGAATCTGTGTCAGACGGCTCTCGGTGCTCTCCTTATGTTCTGTGTAGCTCTGTGCTAGTTCTGCTACAGTGGTTGGTTAGTGTGTGTGTGTGCTTAAGTGTGTATTCTGTGATTTGGGACGGCGTCGAACTTGTGCGAGACACCTCACTATTTTAGCCTTAAGTGCCCATCGTGCGCTATGACTGTGATAATCTGTGGCCTTCGTTTTGTGTAGCGTGATTGTGAACAGATAGCTGGTTTTAAGAGCCTGTATTTTTGGTTATATCATCTTTATTTTGAGTTTATTATTAAAATCAACCTCTCACCAAGAACACCTGGTTTCGTGTTGCTTCCCTTTTACCCTAAGCGAGCTGGGGTCGTAACACTGGGTAATGCTTACAGGGGTGGCAAATGAAAACCAAAGTGATATGATGAAATACAAATGTTTTTAACTCGGGAGAGGCAGCAGGGTAATAACAATTAAACCATGGTTCATTGTGCTTTTGGATCGCTGGAACTGGAGAGGAAACAAAACGTTATTCTTGTCTGGATAATGGATCGTTTCCTGCGTAAGACTCGCTATCTGGAGCCTTTTGGTTCCTTTCTCTTGTATTTATTTATGATAATACCACTTGAGGAGTGAGGACACGTCTGGTGCCATCCATTAGTGTATTCTAACTGTATTTGTGTCGTTGTGTTTTGTTCATTCATTCATTGGTTTTTTCACATTTATCTTGTCCTTTTACTATATGCTCAGATATGTTTGTAGTTTTTACATTATCACTCATGTTGATTTGTGAAGCCCTCTGAGACAAATGTGTTTACTGATATTGGGCTATAAATACATTTGAATTGAATTGAATCCTTAATCTCTATTCAATCTTTATTTATATCCTGCTTTAAAGGTCCCCTAGTATACTGGTTTTCATCAATATATCACAGGTCTCAGATATATACAGAGCCTGTTTCCGATTGGCTGAAACACCAAACAGATCATTGCAGCATTACCCATAAACCCCTCTGTTTCAGCCCTGTTTCCAAAGTGCTGATTCTCTGTCTGTTACTTTAGATGAAAATAAGGAGCCCCTCCCCACGCCCCTCTGAGAGACATTTGGTTACAAAGAACTCAATGGTGCTCTAGAGGAGATTCAGGTGATAAGGGGGGGGGGGGTTACCTTGGTTGCTGATTGGCTAATGGTTACACAAGCCAACATCTGATCAGCTCATTTTCAGACAGGTTTTTATATAAATGGATCAGAACAAAAAGAGAGAGAAAATATTTTTTCAGAGTCTCTTTACACAGAGGGGACACATGTTGATGTAGAAGAGACATGAAGAAGAGGGGACACATGTTGATGTAGAAGAGACATGAAGAAGAGGGGACACATGTTGATGTAGAAGAGACATGAAGAAGAGGGGACACATGTTGATGTAGAAGAGACATGAAGAAGTGGGGACACATGTTGATGTGGAAGAGACATGAAGAAGAGGGGACACATGTTGATGTAGAAGAGACATGAAGAAGAGGGGACACATGTTTATGTAGAAGAGACGACACATGTTGATGTAGAAGAGACATGAAGAAGAGGGGACACATGCTGATGTAGAAGAGACATGAAGAAGAGGGGACACATGTTGATGTAGAAGAGACATGAAGAAGAGGGGACACATGCTGATGTAGAAGAGACATGAAGAAGAGGGGACACATTTTGCATAATAGGTGACCTTTAGCTCCACACACTGACACCCACCTGTCCAGCGCGATGGCCGTCATGGAGTAAATGCTCGCGAACACCGCGGCCACGGGGAAGAAGTTGTGGAAGCGGCAGTAAATCAGGCCGAAGTACCACTCGTTGTGCACGGCGTAGGTGAAGTTGATGACGGTGTTAAAAGCGGACATGGAGGCTTCCGCGAACGCCAGGTTGAGGAGGAAATAATTGGTCACAGTCCTCATGCGTTTGTGAGCCATAATAATCCAGATCACCGTAACGTTGCCCACCACGGACACGATTACTATGGAGCTGTACGCCATGGCCCACAGCGCGATCCTCCACGCGGGCTGCACGAACTGGTTCCAGTACTCGGTCCCGTTGGTGGAGTTGGTGGGGATAGTGGGGCTGTCGGTGATGTTGAAAAGAGGATCCATTGCGCTGGTTGGAAAGTCTAAAAACCGGTGGAGAACAACAATCTAATTCATTGCTCAAAGAAGTTCAAAGTTTCAGAAAAGCGTGCGAGGTTCACGTACCCTTCACTGGGTTTGAAATAATAAATCCAGTGTTCAGAATAGTGGATCTGTCGCTATGTAACACCTTTGGCTGCGCGTAAAAGCGAAAACGCGCCTTTTACGCGCATTGCAGCACAAGTCTGTGATCCGCTCACTGTTCACACACACTTATCCCCCTCTCTCTCTCTCTCTAACACACACACACACACACACACACACACACACACACACACACACACACACACACACACACACACACACACACACACACACACACACACACACACACACACACACACACACACACACACACACACACACACACACACACACACACGCTCTCCTTCTCTCTTTTCTACCGAGAGCCAATAGGCAGCCTCTTCACAGTAATTATGAATATGGATGAGCCAAGGTAGGCTATATCATTTTTTCCATTCCGCAGGATTATCATGCCTTAAATACCTCTCATCTGATTAAATGCGCAAGAGAATAGTGTAAACAAATTAACTAAATGAAACCTAAATAATGACTTATATCATTTTCTTTGTTAGAGGTTACCTGGGATTTTATGTGTAAATATCCAAATCAGGCTTTGCTTTATTAAATAGAAATGTATGATGCAAAAGAGTTACATCGACCCAAAACACTTTCATAAAAACTTCCACTCTTTAGTGTCCCCTGGTCTCCCAGCTGTGTGCGTCACTCTTTAGTGTCCCCTGGTCTCCCAGCTGTGTGCGTCACTCTTTAGTGTCCCCTGGTCTCCCAGCTGTGTGCTTCACTCTTTAGTGTCCCCTGGTCTCCCAGCTGTGTGCGTCACTCTTTAGTGTCCCCTGGTCTCCCAGCTGTGTGCGTCACTCTTTAGTGTCCCCTGGTCTCCCAGCTGTGTGCGTCACTCTTTAGTGTCCCCTGGTCTCCCAGCTGTGTGCGTCACTCTTTAGTGTCCCCTGGTCCCCCAGCTGTGTGCGTCACTCTTTAGTGTCCCTTGGTCTCCCAGCTGTGTGTGTCCCTCTTTATTGTCCCCTGGTCTCCCAGCTGTGTGTGTCACTCTTTAGTGTCCCCTGGTCTCCCAGCTGTGTGCGTCACTCTTTAGTGTCCCTGGTCTCCCGGTCTCCCAGCTGTGTGCGTCACTCTTTAGTGTCCCCTGGTCCCCCAGCTGTGTGCGTCACTCTTTAGTGTCCCTTGGTCTCCCAGCTGTGTGCATCACTCTTTAGTGTCCCCTGGTCTCCCAGCTGTGTGTGTCACTCTTTAGTGTCCCTGGTCTCCCAGCTGTGTGTTTCACTCTTTAGTGTCCCTGGTCTCCCAGCTGTGTGCGTAACTCTTTAGTGTCCCTGGTCTCCCAGCTGTGTGCATCACTCTTTAGTGTCCCCTGGTCTCCCAGCTGTGTGTGTCACTCTTTAGTGTCCCCTGGTCTCCCAGCTGTGTGTGTCACTCTTTAGTATCCCCTGGTCTCCCAGCTGTGTGCGTCACTCTTTAGTGTCCCCTGGTCTCCCAGCTGTGTGCGTCACTCTTTAGTGTACCCTGGTCTCCCAGCTGTGTGCGTCACTCTTTAGTGTCCCCTGGTCTCCCAGCTGTGTGCGTCACTCTTTAGTGTCCCCTGGTCTCACAGCTGTGTGTGTCACTCTTTAGTGTCCCCTGGTCTCCCAGCTGTGTGCGTCACTCTTTAGTGTCCCCTGGTCTCACAGCTGTGTGTGTCACTCTTTAGTGTCCCCTGGTCTCACAGCTGTGTGCGTCACTCTTTAGTGTCCCCTGGTCTCACAGCTGTGTGTGTCACTCTTTAGTGTCCCCTGGTCTCCCAGCTGTGTGCGTCACTCTTTAGTGTCCCCTGGTCTCCCAGCTGTGTGCGTCACTCTTTAGTGTCCCCTGGTCTCCCAGCTGTGTGCGTCACTCTTTAGTGTCCCCTGGTCTCCCAGCTGTGTGTGTCACTCTTTAGTGTCCCCTGGTCTCCCAGCTGTGTGTGTCACTCTTTAGTGTCCCCTTGTCTCCCAGCTGTGTACGTCACTCTTTAGTGTCCCCCGGTCTCCCAGCTGTGTGCATCAGTCTTTAGTGTCCCCCGGTCTCCCAGCTGTGTGCGTCACTCTTTAGTGTCCCCTGGTCTCCCAGCTGTGTGCGTCACTCTTTAGTGTCCCCTGGTCTCCCAGCTGTGTGCGTTACTCTTTAGTGTCCCCTGGTCTCCCAGCTGTGTGCGTCACTCTTTAGTGTCCCCTGGTCTCCCAGCTGTGTGCGTCTCTCTTTAGTGTCCCCTGGTCTCCCAGCTGTGTGCGTCACTCTTTAGTGTCCCCTGGTCTCCCAGCTGTGTGCGTCACTCTTTAGTGTCCCCTGGTCTCCCAGCTGTGTGCGTCACTCTTTAGTGTCCCCTGGTCTCCCAGCTGTGTGCATCACTCTTTAGTGTCCCCTGGTCTCCCAGCTGTGTGCGTCTCTCTTTAGTGTCCCCTGGTCTCCCAGCTGTGTGCCTCACTCTTTAGTGTCCCCTGGTCTCACAGCTGTGTGTGTCACTCTTTAGTGTCCCCTGGTCTCCCAGCTGTGTGCGTCACTCTTTAGTGTCCCCTGGTCTCCCAGCTGTGTGCATCACTCTTTAGTGTCCCCCGGTCTCCCAGCTGTGTGCGTCACTCTTTAGTGTCCCCTGGTCTCCCAGCTGTGTGCGTCTCTCTTTAGTGTCCCCTGGTTTCCCAGCTGTGTGCGTCTCTCTTTAGTGTCCCCTGGTCTCCCAGCTGTGTGCGTCACTCTTTAGTGTCCCCTGGTCTCCCAGCTGTGTGCGTCACTCTTTAGTGTCCCCTGGTCTCCCAGCTGTGTGCGTCACTCTTTAGTGTCCCCTGGTCTCCGTTGTATTTGAGCTTCTTCAGCGTTTTGTATTTGCAGCGTTTGGTTCCTGCAGCTTTTAGTAAACGCTGCAGGAACAAGTTGCTGAAGACGTTTCTTCATGTGTTTTTGGAACATTTGTCTTTTTATATCTGCATCGTTTCTGAAGCTGCAGCGTGTTCTGAAATCTTGTGTTTGCACATACAATTGAGGCTTTATCAAATGCTAACATTTGGGGATTTAGGAGAAATCTACAGACACAAATATAGGAGTTAATAGAATTAACTCCTATATTTAGATTTTTGAGTGAAGACATGTTATGGAAGCAAAATAGCCAAAAACCTATAATTAGCCAGTGCATGAAACACACATGTTCCCCTCTAATGTCCCCCCATGTTTTAGACATGTTGTAATGTAATGAAGTGTCTCCGTTATAATGTCTTCCCGCTCACTGCCCCCTCTTGTGGATTTACAGTCAGTGCATGTGCGTCAGTTGATTTACAGGAAGTGAACACACGCACGGTGATACAATCAATTACAGTAATGGAGCATGCTTCAGAGACGGTTCCTTTACATGTTTTGTAGTAAACATTGTATAGTAATAACACTCCCCGACACCTTGTATAAACTCAACAATAATGACTGCACTCATGAAAGGAAAACCTGAACAATACAGATGTTTATTGGTGATACCTTTATCTTGAACAGCAGACTTTTTGATTTTATTTCAAATGTATTTTTAGAGTTTCTTTGTATATTTCTATCGTAATTTCTTCTATACAATTTTTACATTAAATACAGATTCACAATTCACTCAGATCAACAATAATATCATCTTCAGAGAGTTGGACGAAGTACCCACATCCTTTACTTAAACAATACATAATAATACAACAAAAAAAGGTTTAGAAAATACAGTAAATTGGAATTAAAGAAGACTTATCTTAAACCGCTTATTGTAATAACATGTAAATATGTGGACTTTTAACATATGCACAGACAAATGTTTATCCTAATAAATACCTTTCTATATATAAATGAAAGCAAGACATCTGTTCAGATCAGCCTGTAGAGCTACATGTTCCCTGTTACTGTCCCTTTGTGTCGTTTTTAAGTATATTTTCTAAATTGTTAGGGGTCCTTGGGTGCTTTGAAAGGCGCCTCTAAAACACAGAACACATTTATTATTTCCAGAGCTCATAAATACAGGATTTAAGAGCAATGCTGCCTCCCTGGACTTCCTCAAATCATCCTTAAAAACTCACCTGTTCCCCGTGGCCTTTGACCCCTAACCCCTGCTTCCACTCCTATACTGCTATTTATTTATTTTACCTCATTATTGGCCCTATTTGTTTGTTGGTATGTTTTTGTGTCTGTCCTTACACCATGTGAAGCGGCCTTGGGTCCCTTGAAAGGCGCAAAACAAATGTAATCTTTTATTATTATTAGTAACTAAATAAAAAAATGTATTTTCTAACAAAATAATACAATTTCTGCCCGTTTTAAATTCTCCAGATTCCGTACACATTTCCAATTGTTTAAATATCCTCATGAATAAATGCACACAGTTGCTCCATTACCCACAGTATTATATTCCACAGTTAAAGCCACAACATGATTAGCATTCAGCAGCAGCAGCAGGAGGCGATGTTCGCACCCAGAGGATCCGTCACACAGCAGGCCATCATTTAGCACGACAAACAGAGCGCAGAACATCATGCAGTTCACATCCGACACACTCCACTTTCCTCTCCCTCGCTCTCCTCGTCCTCTCATCTTCATCGCCTGCAGGCACCAGCTTTCATGCAGCCTTGTTCCGAGTTAATACCAGATTACCCAGAACCCCCTGTTCCTCTTGTGGGTCCTCGTGAGGTTCTTCAACTAAAAGCAGACGAAGAAATGCTGTGTGTGATTCAATGTTTTTCTAACCTGTTATGCTCTTAAGCTTTTTAATACCATTCAATATGTTCCTTTTTATTTCATTGCATTTTGAAGCACCTTGAGATGACGTTGTTTTAAAGTGTGTTATATAAATCAAGTGTATTATTATTAAAATGTATTCAATTGAGGATGAGAAAAAGGTGTCAGTAGAGCATTTCTCCATCGCTCCAAAGAACTGTCCAGAGACACAATTCTTGCCCACATTTCGATAAAATACCACATTGTTTTCACCTAATGTTGTTGCCTCTGCCTGTAGGTACACTATAATGTAATGTCTCCTTTCCACATGCCGTCAGCGATCTGACTCCTACCCCAATGAC